TCAATAAATGGAAAGAGTATTTCGAAAGACTGCTTCTAGAAAACAGAAACTTCCAAACACACAAGGACGTAAAATTTGAGCAAAGGATAAATCTGACAATTAAAGATTTAGAAAAAGCACTTAAGACAATGCAATCCAATAAGGCCCCTGGTCCGGGAGATATACCGGCAAAATTACTGAAATATGTTCCCTATAAACTGCGCCAAATGCTCAAACACGTTTTCAAGGTGCGTGAATGGAGAAAATCCTCCTCAGGAGTGGCGAACGTCTTACCTAACACCAATCCATAAGAAAGGATCTAGGGACAATGAAACAAACTACAGAGGAATAGCAGTTATTGGATCTATAGGTAGACTGTATAGCGAAATAATACGAAATAAAATAGAAGAAGAGATAAAAGGAAAAATTGGAGAGGAACAATGTGGTTTTACTGCCGGCAGGTCGGTCATAGACAATATATTTACATTAAAACAACTTATAGAAAAGAGAACAAGGAGAGGTAGGGAAGTTCATCTGGGTTTCATTGATCTTCAGAAGGCGTATGACAATGTACCGGTTGCTAGAGTATGGAAAGAAATGGATGGACTTCAAATCAGTGAAAACTTAATTGGAGCCACACAGAATCTATAAAAGAAAAACACCTCTCAGATTAAGATCTACAGCAGGCTCTCGGATCCATTCCCAGTCAGCTAAGGTCTTCGTAAGGGTTGAGACGTTTAGTATGGTAATGTTGCCCAAACTCCTTTGGTGGGACCTACTCTCGTGCATGGTCCAGAGATCTCGGGATGTGGACTCTGTGATGCTTTGTAGTTTTGAGTGTGAAATAGTGCCTCATCAATGGAAGTTATGCCCCTGGAGTGAACGTTCACAATTTGTAACGTTACAAAGGACTTATTATTAAGTTGTATATTTGCTGCAAGAAGAATTTCTTCCCATGAGAATATCCATTTACAATCAGAGGTAAGCGGTGAAACGTGAGGTTATTGTCCATTATACTCTTCTTGAATAAAATATCTAATTTTATGATTGATTGAAGAATTTGTTATTGATTACAGGCTTAGCAATTGGCGGAACACGAATGTGTGTGTGAATTCATTGCTGGTAGTGTTGGGAGTAAATTTGCAGTTATATTCAGTAAATTTGTTTATACAAATTGTTGAAGTGCGTTTGTGAGAGAACTTGCTGATTAATTCATTAAAGACTGGCAGAAAACATTACACATGCAAAATGTTTATAAAAAGGGGAACTACAAGATGATGAGCAACTTAATGTTGTTGGATGGGTGTTTAGTGAAATATGTGGGTGTTTATTGAAGGATGAGTAAATGAAGGCAGTTTTTAAATAACCAAGTTATGTTGCATGTGATATGAATTGGACACCACAAATCTGAAAACCTCGGTAGGCCCTACTTGATGTCTCCTATAGTGTCTTCCTTTGGTGTTGTGCTTGTGAATTTAAGAAATTCTGGTCATGTTACTTTGTTCTGTGCTGTGTTACGCACCAGCATTCACATTAAAATGTAGCCTATATAAGTGAAAAAATTGATGACTTGTGATTTATTTGCACTATTATGCACTGCAATTTTTGATGCATTTGTAAGTTCATCAAATATTAATCTTTGTTATAGTTCAACATTTTTTTAATTAAGGAAATCAATTTAATTAATGAATGTCGATAAGGTATATATTTTAAAATTTGAACAGAGACTGAGACACATCCAATTGTAACAATCTTGCAAAATTAGATTTTGTTAATCAATTAGATTTTGTTTTGATTTTATTTCTATTTTATTTATTTGCAAATAATGTAGTATTACTAGTTTAATAAAAATATACATTTAGTCATATGTCTTCCCCATAATTTTTAAATTATTATATTATTTAAATATTTCAGGTGTATAACCTGACACCTAAAATAATTCAATTCATTACTTCATTCAATTTCAGCACAAGAATTAATTTTAAGAATTGTTGAAAGACGTATCATTGTGCTAATGATGACTGCAGCGACATTTTTGAAAAACCTTGTTGAAAAAGATACTTTTTCAAACCTTGCATCACTAAACAAAATTAGTGAATACTTAAGCATGGTGATAATGTACAGACTAAGATATATTCATCTTTTTCTCCAGTGTAGAAATGTGTTTATGCACAGTAAATAATTGTAATTTGTAAAACTGCGAACTTTCATGACTTTGCAAATTTTTTGTAGCTGATATCTCTCAAAAACTTGAAATATGCTTGAGCAAAATATTAGTCTGAGATACAAAACGTTTTACATATAATGCATTTTTTGTCTATTTTAGAAATTTATGGCCTTTTCTGGAGTTTATTGCACGTTTTTCAATTTTTTGCACAAATAACATTTATTTTTCAGTAAAACTTAATAGTTAATGCATAATGTTGAGTTTCATAGTTCAGAGTGGGATAGAGAACTGATAGCTACAATGACTAATTTTAGGAATCAAGTTTATTTTTTCCGATATCGGTTTTTGTACTCCCATTTTCATTGCCTTAGTCGTTAAGTTGGTTGTAAAAGGAAAATTGATAATAGAGATTCCCACCAAGGCAGGGTGTAAGACAGGGATGTTGCATATCACCGACACTTTTCAATATATACATGGACAACATGTTTAGAACATAGAAATTGAATATAGATCGAGGGATCTATTTTAGGAAAATATTTTTAAATTCTATTTTATATGCAGATGACAAAGTGATAATACAGGACACTGAAGACAAAATGCAAATGGCAGTATATAAATTAAATCAAACTGCAATAGAATATGGTTTAAATTTGTAAGAAGCTTCTAGAAACACTATAATATCCTAGATAAAGAGAAAAGCACAGAGATAAGAAATAAACTGGGGGTCGAACCACTGCTGGAGAAACTGGAAAGAAATCAGAAAAGATGGTATGAACTTCTCATACGAATGCCCAACAGCAGACTGCCAGCACTCGCAGTGGACTACAGATGCAGAGGAATAGATGTAGGAAAGCCCAGAAGGAAGTGGACACCGGAACAGGTTCTTGAACCTAACCCTTGAAGTGAAGAAGAAGAAGTTTTTTTTCTCTTTAGAATGAGTAAATTATAAAATGAGAAGATGATTCAGAACACATTCACTGTAATCTCATCTTTAAGAACATGTATTTAGAATAAACTTGTTAAAATACAAATGCGTCACATACCCAACACATGATGTCAAAAGATCTTTTTTCAAAATATAAGTCAATATAAAATATAAGTCAGTTATATAGTCAGTCAAAATATAAGTCAGTTTAATAGCAGTTCTTCAGAACAGAAATTTTGAACATGTTTCGATTTGGTTGTCACTATTGAAATTATATTTTCTAATAATTTTCATTCCCTTCGTTTCTGAATTTAATGTGAAAGCTCACCTGTTATTCCATACATGAAAATATT